ACATCCTCACAAAATACAAAAACACAGAGATATGTTTGATGATGTACCGTGACCCCAGAAACTAATTTAAATAACAGTCTGTTTTCTGTAGAGGAACTGGGTTTCTACATTGCAGCCGAAGAACCACAAATATTCTTCCAGCCTGCATTCAGTCATTTGAGTTGTTCTCAAATGGATCCGCTCACATTTCATTTCACTTTGTTGATTTTCTCTTTCAGCTTCTGAAATGCTACATTTGATGAAACAAAAGACTGGTTAAAACTTTAAACACAAAAAAATATTCAATATGATATTTAATACAGTGTGCTTTTTAATTATAAGAAACTATATTAACATTCTTCTCAGCATTTGACAGCTTCATTGCTCAAGCTCTTTTGTATAAATACAGGCTATTTTGGTAYCATTTTAGTGCCCGTTTTTATTACCGTACCTGGATCAAATTTGCCATTTTCAGTCCACAAGGAGAACGAGTTTGTTTACTTAATACTTCGGTCTGAAAAGTGCAGCTAACATTTGGGCATTATCTATGGACCCAAAATGCAGACTCGTTAAAGCAGGATTCATGATGAGGCAAGAATTTATTAAGTGAAGTTCAGCAAAAGTAGTGTCAAGGCTGGAAGACTGTTCACTGACAAACAGACAACATCACAGGACAAGCAAATAAACTTGAAGTAAACCGAGAATAAATACAGATAAGGGTGATTGCATGAAGAAGGAAAATGAGAAATAAATGTGAGAAACTACTTTTTTATTACCAAGTACTTTATTTATCCTAAACAAAAAATCTCTTTATGGCTCTAAAACCAATAGCATTAATGAAACACACACAGTGTGTCTATAAAACATTTGTTTTCATGTCCAACTTCTTTTGCAATATATTAGATAAATAGCTTTGTCCTCAGTCTGGACAAAAACACATTCTAACTGCTCCGGGTCAGCATGAAAACCTTTATAATTTTGCATAAATTTTGTAACAGGATTTTTRTATAAGCCAAACCCTGCAACGTTTATATTTCACTGTGTAAATGAAACAAGTCTAAACTAGATGTTGCCACACTAATTGGACAACAGTTCAGAAAGTTGAGATATACATAGATAGGACTGGTTTTAGTCTTAGTTGTTTTACAAGCTGATAGCAACTGAATATTAAAGCTTGTATAAACATATACAGTWTATCACATTGATTAGCATTGTTTAGCAGAAGAAGTGAAATAAAGTCTTGATCTTCAGAGCATAATACTTGTTAGGAAACTGCAATACTTTCTCCAGGTTAATGGTTTATGCAGGGCTACTTGCCGGAACTGTGCTATAATCTCTCCCTGCTGTCCACACAGCAGATGAATCAGGCCAACAACAAGCTGCTGGAACAGCAGCCTGTTTAAACAAGTTCCTCAGGGGACTGTTAGTGAGCGTACTATTACCTCGAAGCCATTCATTGGTTCATTGTGCCCTTGCCTTACTTGGCTGTGATAAATGGAAAGTAACATCTCCATGGGCAATAACTCTCAGTGTGTGGACTTGAATGTTTGGCCAAATCATTGCCGAGAAATATGTGAGGCAGTAACAGAGATCTGGAATCACTTCTGACAACTTGATATGGGCAGGAAGAAAGAGATGAAGAAGATTTCACACCCAGATCAGAGACTCTGAGTCTTCTGTCCCAGAAGAGTGAACATTGACTTGTTGTCTTGTTTCTTTAGATCCTTTTAACTTTGGGGAAGTCCATCCTCTGAAGTAAAGAGATATGTAAAGGAGGGGCAGTGAAGAGTGCTAAATCATACTTCATTCTCAACAAAAGCTTTTAAGGCCATCTGGATTTAAAACCAAAGTCTTTGATATAACAGAAGCATAGSAAAACCATGTTTTTTACTCAATTTATTTATAAAAATGTGACATATTTTGTTTTAATACCCAATGGCTGCCCAATGGTACAGCTGGTTGATGGTGTTGTCTTGTAAAAGGAGGATCTTGAGTCCTGGCTGGGGTCTTTCTGAGTGGAGCTTGCATGTTCTTCCCATGTGTGAGATGGATTTGCTCCTCCTGTTGTTGCACAGGATCAAGCAGGTATAGAAAATAGATCAACTCGCTGCACATTTGATCTAAATTTGAAGGTAGACCACATGCAGTATGTCCCAGAAAGGTATACAAACATGTACACCTGCCACCTTGGGTTGTTACATCTTTATCTTGTGGTTAAATGCATAGTTAAAGCAGTTTTAATGTGCTGTTAATTTGTTGTTGGCAAGTTTGGGTTACACAGTTGAAAATGTCTTAAGATTATATAACTAGACTTCTCTACACTCAGCCATATCTGAAATAGGAACACATTTATTTCTTTTTTACCTTGAAAGAACTCTACAGCAATGATGCATTTCTTGAGACATTTGGCTGTGATTCCTAAAACTCATCCTTGAAGGTTTTCAGACCTAACCACATTATGGCGGGTGATAGATGCAGGGTCTCCACTGGAGTGACTCCCCAGCTCGAACAGATGACGTTTGAATTCTTTATGCTTGATCCCACGGGACTTGTCCGTTTCAGCCTGAGGAGGCCACCACATAGTGCAGCCAAACTGATAATCCAGGGGTGATTGAGGTAATTGCTTGCAGTTGTGTTGAGCGTTGAAGAGGACTTTGAAAAAGGTGAGTGCAGCTCGTGTGCTGTGTGGATTTCAGACTGCAGTTCACAGAGAGACTTTGTATGGCTTTGTGTAGTCCACAGGAAGGAAACATATTAAAGCTCCTGAAAAGCCAAATCAGTTACACTCTATTTAGTTTACCCCTGGTGCTCTGAAMGCCTGTTCCTATACAGACAGTGAATAAAATATCTGCATGGTAATTTTGGTTCACAGAAATGTGCTGTAGAGAACTATTTACCTCCCTATTGGTTTTGAAWCATTAGCAAAAAYAAGAGTCCAACTCCCTAACCAGCACTGGCACAGTGCCTTCATTCAGAGCACCAGGCCTTAATCCTAATTGCAGGTTACCCTCAGATCTGTCATTTGTCTTACAGACTGACAGTGGGAGATTCTTGTGCAATGAGAGGATGCCCACAGTACAGAATGAAACAATTCTTGTTATGTGAGTTTTCATGTTTTTTTTTTTAAATTTTTGTAATGATTACCAAGCTGCTGTAAAATCTTGATTTCCTCTACAGTTTAAGGAATGCTTTAATGCCCATTTTGTTTGAGGGGAAGGGATGTTGCCTTTTTAATGTTCAACTCTTATTTTGTATTTTCTTACCCTGTATGACACATCTTTTTTCTCTCAAGTAACAGAGAAAGTATCTCAGTATTTTGTTTGGGACATAATCCTCCCTTCAAATTCACAAATGTGTCCTGTATACCTGACCAGTGAGTTTTACTGTTTTTACTCAGCAACAAGCAGATCATGTATATGATTAMACATACTGCACACAGGCAGGGCAACTGTACACCCAGAACTTAATTTCCTGACTTGAGGGGACAATGAAATGGGGGTCTTCAGTTGAGTGAGAAGAAATGATGAAGGAGGGATAAATTCAATGACGTTTTAAGCACCCTTAATGAAAGCAACTCTTTGTTTTTATCTTGATTATCCTATAGTCTCCACACACACACACACACACACACACACACACACACACACACACACTCTCTGAACTGATTTGTGCAATCTGTAGTTGCTTTGTGATGTAAAGAAAAAAAGCTTTTGATCACAAGCTCAGTAAGTTTGTTAGAAATAAATCAGTCTTTTGATTCATCAGCATTATTGATGGTATTTCACAATTTTTGTAACCCCCAATCCTTCATTCCTTTTGTCAATAAAAAACCCCTCTTGGCATCTTTTAATACCTTTTGCCTCATTTGTTACAAACTGTAAACTCACTTCTCAACTGTGTTTCGTAGCATTTTTAAAAACTTTTCTTAGCATACTATGCTATTTTCTTATTACGGTGCAGTTTTGTAAAATAGCTTATTGTTAATAAATGTATGTTGTTTGAGGTGGCATGGCAGCACATCGGTTAGAAATTGTGTACCAATTGTTGCTTTGGATGGCTGACCCTCCTTAAACTCATCCATTTTCAATACCTCTTCTCCTTGCAGCTTCACTGTTCCATCTGTCTCGCTCTTAATCACACACAGATGCTATTTTGCTTTGACTACCTTTAATGCATTTTCTCTGCTTAACAAACCAGTGTCTTTTCAGACTGTTTTCATCTGCTCCCTGCTCTCACTGCAGATCACAAYGTCMTCAGCAAACACAGGAACACCTTTTYTGATTTGATCTCACAACCTGTCCATCACCCCTRTACAAACAAAAGAAGGCTCAGAGCTGATCCCTGATGTAAACCCACCCCCACACCTTGAACCCATCTGTCAATCTGACAGCATCTTACCACCGTCCTKCTGACCTTGTGATCGTTAACGTCATCTTGACCAGTCCAGTATGGAAATCTCATTCTTGATGATCTGCATGTTTGATTTGGAAAAGGTTTTATGTTGGAGGACCTTTCTGACACAGCCCTTTTCATCCAAGCAATGACAGAGTATCCAAAGCTTCTGTCAWCAGACCTAAATGGAGGTTTACAAGACAGTAATGGGATTCTGTGATGTATGTTTTGAAAATTGAGGCACTAACAAAAAAGACAAGAGGCAACGCTGTCAGTGGCCGTGATGAAGGTATTGACATTTTCATTGAGAGTGACTAATTTTAACAGGAATAAAAAAAAAGAAATTGTGTATATTTTTGTCTCTTTAGTCAAGTCTGTTTGTTGTATGTTTTGGGTTGTTGCTGGTGGTTTAGTGTTTCAATCTGTTATGATCCTGGGATACGACTATAAGAGTCTTTTTTGAGTAATCAGCCAGTCCAGCTGAGCTGAATGTTTGCTTGAAAACTCCTGCCTGCTGTGGAAGTGTGGCCCTCCTCCTTCTCCCTCAGTCCCCTCCTCCTTCATCACTTTAAAGGCAGTGCTTTCACTGAAGTCAATCAGAGAGGGATCTTTAACTGTGCCTGCCGCTGAGTTTCTACACACCCTCACAGCAGTCATTACTCAAACACATGTACRCTTCCAGCAATAAACATATGGAGTACTACAGCTTCCTCCTTCTGTGGATCTGCAGCCAACATTTAGGTGAGTGAAAGTTGTTTAGATGGTCATTAATGTTTAAATGTGTGTGTGTGTGTGTGTGTGTGTGTGTATACATTACACTTTATTATGTACTTTGTGAGTCTGTTTGAGGATTTCAGATGTAGAACCATAATTGTGTACATTAATTTGACTTTTTATGCTTTAAAAGTTAAAAACTACTTTTTTKGGGGGGTGGGGGGGTTCCAAATGCAAACATTTGTGTCAGTTCAGAATTTCTCTTTTATCCGAATATCTTCAATGAATGAATGGTTGTTTGTGTGAGTCGCATTATAAACTGACTCTTGACTCACCATAAGGGCAAAACACAGGAAGGCAGAGCTTAGTGGCAATACTRAAGAAAATATTGGCTTTTTTATGTTGTTTTTGAAAACATACAACATTTTGCTAAATGAAAGCTGCAGCTGCCTTTTCACAGTCAGGTTTCTAGTATTTGAAAGGTTCTTGGTGCTCAACYAGAGTTGTGGTTAGTCCCTAATAAAACAATTAAAACAGCAACATCTGTAAGAGATGAAAGAAAGGAATTAACAGGGAGTCAATAAAAAAGAACTAAAACGAATATTTATGTGAAACTTTAAGTCTTAASTAAAAGCTAAATAAATCTACTAACATTGTATAAATATAGTATTGATCTTTATTACAGTACTACAACAAAGAGCTGGCCTGGTTTAAAGTTGTGTACTGAACTGTAACCAGGGTTTAAAATTACAGTACTACAACAAAGAGCTGGCCTGGTTTAAAGTTGTGTACTGAACTGTAACCAGGGTTTAAAGACTGTGTTGGAAAGTTATTCGTCATTGTGGCTCTGCATTATGTCGTGCCAATTATATTTCAACTGGCAAACTTTGCTCTCTTATTTCAGTTGTTATTTATAGAAAAAAAGACGTAAAAACACATTACCCTTTTTGAGGTTTGTAAAGTTTGTTTTGATGAATATATGGTCATTTTAGACACTTTTAGAAGAATTCAAACGTAGAATGGGATGAAGAAAAATCTATTGTAAATATTTGGTTTAATTTTGGACTTTGTTGGAGCAGAGTTTTGGACTAACACCAGAATAAAGGAGTTTGTGACCTTGTGACTGGAGAATGAGTGGATGCTGGCTGTGGTGGAAGATATTTTGTGAAGTGTATAAGAAGTGGACTTCCTTTTAGTCTACGGTTTGTTAATTCTTGGGACTTCAGGACCAAAGATCCCACTCACATAACTTTTAAAGGGCCGAATGTGGAGGACATATGCTGTACATTAGATGGTAACAGCAGGGTCATTTGCTTCACAAAGCTCGTGTCCTCTCAAGCACAATCTCAGCAGGATGTCAACTCAAATGGTTTTCTTATGTGAACTTTGATTTTCATCTTTTTAATGGACATACAGTATGATCTCATGCAGAGATTTCAAGCCGTCACGGAAACGTCTCACTATAACTTTCAGATATGTGAACAATGTCAAAATTGTGTTGCAAATGTCAAAACTAATCAATTACTGACATGCAGCAAATGGATTATTACTAGTGGTTATCTTAAAAATGTGTTAGATGATGATATTTTTTTGACATCATACAGCTGATTTTAAACCAAGCCATTGTCTGAGGCTGTTTAAAGGATTAGTTTGGAGGTTTAGAAGTGGGTTTCTGTAGGTTTTGAATATCTTACTTCTAGTAGATAGGTCTTCTAACACTTCCATTTTGCATAAATTCTGATTGAACAAATAAGCTAATAACCAGTCAGAGTACAACAAAAGATATTAAGCAACATAGTGAAACAGTAAAGTGGTGCAAAAATCTCCAAAATGACATTAAAAAGGTTCAAGCTAATGCTATTTAATTGAAAGAAAGGTAGCAGAGCTAGACAAGGATATCAGCAAAATGTTGATGGTAATTACCCAAATTCAGCATTGCATAATGTTAGTTTCAATTTTTTTATTATCATTATTTTTCCTGAACGATTCCTTGCACTGACCAGAGAACCCTCAAACACCTGCTACCATCTGGTTTTTGTCTGCAGTATGATGGGGTTTAATCAGTTCTTAATCTCATATCAGATAGAGTCATGGGTGGTTACTGTCCTTTCACCAGTAAGTTAAAATATGACACCCAGGAGGGTTAGCAAGCTCTTACAGATTGTGCTTCACTTAGCATTGCAAGAGGAGGCATAACATGTTTTCCTGTTGTTAGCATGTGTATGCTGTCAACAGATGAGCTACCTGCTCTTAATTTAAATCCATTCTCAGCCAGAAAAGGATTCACTGCTCCCTGTAGGCTGAGGATGAGTCKCTGTCTCAGGTGGAGAAGTTCAAATGTGTCAGTTTTCTGTCCACGAGTAATGGTAGGGTGGAAGAAGACACAGACAGAAAGGAACTTTATTAGAAATAAGGCAGTTTTGGTACAAGTCTGTGAGGAGCTGGGTCCAGAAATGAATCATCTCTGTCATAAATCTTCACCTATTGTGTCGACATTTTGGATCCAAGAGCCAAGTGGCTGAAATCAGTTCTGTTTGAAGGGGTACCAGGGGTCTGAGTTATGGGAAAGGATGAAGAGCACAGAGTGGAGCTTTCCTGGGTGTCTCATTTAGGAGATTTTAGCTACACTCCACTAGAAGAGACTCTGGGGCAGTGAACCTATATGCTTCCAGATCCCCCAGAAGGAAGTGGAGACTGTTGCTGATGGCAAAATGAAAACCTGAGTATCTCTCCTGGATTTGTTGCCTCTGTGCCCTAACCTGAACACACAAACACAAACAGCCATATGCCAGTCATTGTGTCTCATATAGAACCTCAAGAAATGAGAAAACCAGTCTACTGATAAAACAAGATCAGATGTGTTAGTTGGCAGTTTGTTCTCTGGCTGACATTTCTCTTTCAGCATCACTGCATTGGGCTTATTTCCACAATTCTTTCAACAATATTAGTCATTTTTTCCACAAAAAGCTATGTTTATCGGTTGTTGTGGTTCACCTCGTATTGAAAGATGCACTTTGGGGACATAACTTGCAGACAGCCACGTCTCATGCTGTACTTGTTAGTCAGTTTTGTTAAGGGCATATTTAGCTCCCAGCATGCAGAGGATACATGGAAATTATTATATTTCTTAGCTTCAAGTAGGATGTCTAGCTTTGGAAAAGAAGGGGGAAAAACAGGAATATTTTGTGTTTTTAAAAAGTGTCACGTTCTTGTTTATTCKGCGTATTTACGGGTTTTACTGAGAACACTGCACGGTTGAACTTTTACATCATCACAAAACAGTAAGACTGAGGACAACAAATCAATTCTCCTAGATGTTCTTGTGTTCCAGGTTTAAAAACAGGTGACAAACTCTTTTTAGCTTTACAATGCCTGGAACAGAAACTTTTGTTTTTAAATCATCAGGTAAAACAGTTTGTGAGCATGGTATTTAGAGTTTTATTGAGCAAGATCAATGTTTATTGTTATTTTGTCATGATTGTTYATTGAACTAGTTTGTGATTTTTTTATTTTATGCGGGTCGACTAAGGTTGTTTTAAACCTACCATGGAAATAAACTTTAAYTTGAGCTGACTGCATTCACAGTTTTGGCCACAAGGAGACAGACAAATAAGACATATGTCTTCCTCCTGTTCATCTAATTTGCAGCATCAGGTTTTCTAAACTCCCACACAGTCATGCTTTTCGTATGACAGCTAATCCTACGTTGTGCTGCCACAGAGACTTTAAAGCCCCGAAGGGGTTTTTGTTGGCTCAGAGGGTTAACAGCTTGTTAAGCAGTGCCCAGTGGACAGAATAATGAAAACATCTGGTTTCAGATACCCCGTGCCGTTCAGAGAATGGCAGAGGGAAAGGTACCAGAGCATTTGAACGTATATCGTCCACTCTAAAGCATTTTTCCAAAGAAGGGATTTGACTGGAAACACAAGGGGTATTGATGGAAAATTATTACAATCTGTTTGCTCTGAGTTACTTTCTAAAGTGAAAACCCACAGATCTGTTGCAAAGCCTGCGGTCCTGCTTCCATAAATCCAATCTGAAGCACTGTTTACATACTAACACAGAACTGACTGTAAACACTGGCTGAAAACGGCAAAGAGGGAAGCATCATGATGATGTGTGTGTGCCCATAAATCCTTATTAACAACTAACAAAAATGCACCAACTATGTCTGATATGGGGATTTCTCTGAGCCAGCTGTTTGCAGGACGTGTCCACGCGGCTGTTCTGTGTCACTGGGTTTGTGGTGCGGCTCCAGCAGCTTGGTGCCGGGCCAAAGGCAGCAGCAGCGGACTCTGAGGTTCACACTGGCAGCCCCCGCCTGAACTTTATTTATCTGGGCATTGAAATCTTCACACACAGGAAACCCAGCACGATTCTGACCTTTCATTAGAAGCTGCAGATACAGATTTCTTTGGCACGTTAGTAGTGTTAAATGGAAACTTGATAACCTGAATTCACACAGTTGGTATGTTGGAACATCTACAGTATCTCCACTGCTTGAAAGTCTGCCTCACAGTTTAGGTTTACAAAAAAAGGAGGCATTTCACTGCTCTCCATTTCTGAAAGAATTTACGCTGCGATGCACGGACTAAAGTTTCTGTTGATCTTTTATTTAAATCTCACACCTATTTGTTCTGAAGAAAGCGTTTTAGGTCACCCCTTTTATCCTTAGCTAAACAGAAACTTTAGAAAGGTGCTTGAAGCTCAGATAAAAGGCTCAGCTCAGCRTGTGGATCAGCTGTACAACAGGAAACCAGCAATGAGGTGGACGTGTCAATATTTAGAAGAGGTGTTTGTATGGCAAAGATGGCTATTTATTTTAATGAATGTTTTCGTGAAATGGACCAAGTGGTCCATGGTGGTGACAGTCAAGGTGTGACAAACTTGATGGGGAAAAATAAGAAATGACTTTCTGTATTTATTCTGTAGCTGGCAGTTTACATGATAGCTGTGCAATCACAAAATACTCAGTTTGGGCCTTGAATTTACAAATACATGCAAAGGAAATGGCATGAGTGGATATTTTTGTTTGCCTGTTGTTTAGACAGCCTGTTAACCCTCCTAAACATTTACTATCTGAGGAATGCAGATAATTTCCCATCTCTGTCAATGAGCCATTTTCCTTCAAGGAATACAGCTGCTCAGGATGCACCTTCTTAGCATTTCAACATGAAAACAGCTGCACTCTCAAATAGGAAAATCTTTACAGTTTACTGGTGCAACAAAAAGAGCATGTTCTTCACGCTGCTTTTATGAAGTCTTTATCACCTAAAGGTAAAATGGGATTTTTTTCTTCTTCTTTCTGTGGTAATTAAAACATGCTGCTATGCTTGATTTACATTTAACCTGCCAATACAACTAACCGTATTATAAAAAAGACATGAACTTTTCAACACATACAGCTTTGCAATATGTTGTTAAATGACTAATAGCCTATTTAATGTGATTGTTTCTTTTTGGATCTGTTCATTATTGTGAACAGATCCTCCACTAATGAAGAATTGCRCTATGAGGAGAACCTGTGAGTATTTTTCAAATGTAGTAAATAATTATAAAGAATCGATAGAGGGGCTTGTGATAGACAGGAATATCTGGTCTGAACTCATGATTTGGCAATTGTTTTATTCTTGTAAAAGAGTGCTCCTCAGAATAATATCTGTCAAATACTTTTATTTTATGTTACTTCTTACTGGGCTTTTATTTTGGTGTACTTCCTGTAAGTAGCTGGATTATGGCAGAAAAGAACAGGGAACTTTATTAACAAGGGAAGACTGCTGATAATCAAAAGTCTTTACAGACTCTCTATAAGGGCCCAGCAGGAATTTGAACAAGGTATTTTTTGTTTTAATAGGTTTTACTGCAGTTAGAATTGCTGCTGTGTATTTTGCAGGTTTAAATGCTAAAGTTAGCAACAAGCTAAATATGCTATAGAGAGAACTTCGACAACATGCTACAAGCTTAAAAGTTGTTTTTGTTGGCTAAGGAATATGTAGTTATTTGTTAAAGGTCAGCATGTTCATGAAGATATGTTAATGAGAGCTATTTTATGCAAATGTTTGCCCTGTAAGGTGTTTTCAGAAAAAAATGCTGAGGAACCAGCCCCCAACAAAACCACAAAATATTTGTCTGTTCCTAATTAAAACATTAACACTCAATGGGTTAATCCGAATCACCTGGACATAATCTATTTGTAAGTTTTGTCAATCAATGGTAACTTCAGATTAAACCTTGAATTGGATTGATTCACTTGATCCCTGATGAAATATGAAGTTAAAACATTAACTTATATTTGGAAGCAGGACCACGCCTCTTCCACCAGTGTCATCAGTCAGAGCCTATAAACTCATCTCCCCTGGCTTCTCGCCTTCGTCTCGTTATTTCAACACCACCCACCCCTTTCGCCCTACCTCTCCTCCGAACGCTCTCACGCCCTCATTGCACCACCTTCCTCACACTTCCCCCTCCTCCCTCCCTTCCTCATCCCTTCATCCATCCCTTTCGTATCTCCATCCCTTCATCATCCCTTCCTCCTTCCCTTCATCCCTCCCTACATTCCCCATCCCTTCCTCGTCCCCTAATCCTTTCCTACATCCCTTCCTCATAACTTCATCCCTTCATCTCTGCATCCCTTCCTTTCACCTCCATCCCTATCTAAAAAACATCTAAGCAGGCTCAAGAAGGACTTTTCCCTGCAGACTGTGACCCACTCTGAGTCTTCAGCCTTCATCCATGCTCTTCCCCAGATTTCTTACATTCATCCCATCCATCCCTTCGACCCCTTCCTTTAATAAAATATTTAAACTCATTTCATGGCACGGTTCTGGCTAGTGAAGTACTCTTTGTTCAGTAGTTAGAGACCAGACCAACACTTTAGATGAATTGCAAAAATATTATGATGTAAAAATAAAGTGAAAAGGAAAAAAATTGTATAGGTCCTCTGGACGGGTTCTTCTTTAATGAAACGTTTCATCTCTCTTCCAAGAGACTTCTTCAGTCTGAGAGTTTCAGGCAAAATGCAGGCTTTTGAGTCCTGCCTCCAGGTGACTGATACTCACATYACATGGCTATCATTCACAGGTGACTGATACTCACATCACATGGCCATCGGGCCACATGGCCGGGCCATGTGGCCCGATGGCCATGTGATGTGAGTATCAGTCACCTGTGAATGATAGCCATGTGATGTGAGTATCAGTCACCTGGAGGCAGGACTCAAAAGCCTGCATTTTGCCTGAAACTCTCAGACTGAAGAAGTCTCTTGGAAGAGAGACGAAACGTTTCATTAAAGAAGAACCCGTCCAGAGGACCTATACAATTTTTTTCCTTTTGATTTTTTACCTGGATTACTGAGATGCATCAGGACATAAAAATAAAGTGATTGTGCAAAGTGCAAAGTAAAGTTAGCCTGCATGGATCAGTTTACATTGATTGTCCTGGTTAAATGTGCCTGATTGTTTTGCCTTCTTATTGATAATGTTTGGCTGCAGACAACAGATTTTAAAAACAGKTTGTTGTGGTTTGGTGCTTAGTTTAGACAATCATCCTAAGCTTACTTTGCCATTATAGCAAACATAGATAAGGAGAAAAAAACTGTTGCCTAAAAACCATGCCAGCTTTATTACCATGGTCAGTAACTGAGCTGCACCTGGTGCTACTGATGCACTGAAACTCCGTTTTTCTCTGTAGATTAATTTGTGACACACATCCAGTTATTTATTTATTTATTTATTTATTTATTTATTTATTTATTTATTTATTTATTGGCAGACCTGTCCCTCATGGTTTACATTTAACTGAGTTTCCCCTATCTGGGCTCAGTTGACTTCACATCACTGGATTCTCCCAGATGGGGATTTGCCTGTGAATGGGGATGTTTAGCGTTACGCCAAGAGACTGAATGAACCCAACAGAATGTGAGCAAGAGCCTCAAAGATAAAAGCAGTGGGGAAGTTTGTGGAAGCCGACAGCAGAAGCTTTTCTTCTCTCATTCAGACTGTGTTGCTCAAACTGTGAGAAAACTCCTATTTCGAACCTAATCTTGAGAAAAGATCTCTGTACATCATTGAGCAATAAGCTTCATTCATTTTTTTTCCTGTTTTCTTTTCTCCAAGTGTGTATTTGGCACTGAAACGTGTTTTAGTGTTTTGAATGTTAATGGGATGTAGTGGGATCTTTCAGATTGTTACTGAAACTTAAACCAACATTTGATAAGAGATTGTGCAGAAGACAAATGACCAATAATAAATGACTAATTCACATTTAACTAAAAACACAATTCTGTATTATCCATTTCTCACTTAAAGATCCAATGAGTATTAAAGCCATTAATTAGGTGTGACTCGCAGAGTCTCAAAAACCTGCTCTCTGATTAGTATTATAATTGAAACCAGATGCTCACAGCTCTTTTTGCCACCTCTGCAAGATGTCTTCAACGGTGAGAGAAATTCAAATACACCTTTGGGAAAATAAATTGGCTTTGATCAAGTTCCCTGACAAATACACTTTTTACCCTCTGCAGGTCACATTTCATAAAGTACAAACTACTGTATCAAAACAGAACTCAGCCTATTTAGTTTCTAGATATGAGGACTAYGAGTGCAACAATACAGAAACATCAAAAGTACTGTTTTTAAAAGGAAATGTTGCTGAAACAGCCAGTTTCTTAGTGGATCTGAGCTCAACAATGCAGCCTATGGAGTAGCTAAATGTAGATCCACTGAGCCTTTCAACACAGAGCATCTTCCAAAGACAAGCTGATAAAATAAATTTCAAAAATCTGTATTATTCAATACAAASGTATATTGAACCTAGAGCAAAGTATTGAACAGTTAAACAGAAACATGTATTGTTACTCTCCTAGAACTGTAAAGTATATTTGTTTCTGTATAAACATAAAGGTATCTTGTGCATTTACAGGTATTTGTCAGGCTTGTAAAAACAAGTCATTTTAAAACCAGCCAACGTGTATGTGGTYATTTCGACACAAACCTCTTTAGCAAATGCACATTTATTTTTTCACATTTYGGATGCGAACTCTTGCACATCAGATTTCTTATGTCTTCTGATTTGAAGTCCTGTTTTCTTCTAAGGTCTCCATGACTGCTTCAACATTGACACAAAGAGACCCCGGATTATCAAAGGCCCTAAACAAGCCCAGTTTGGATACACTGTCCAACAACACGTGGCTGCAGGGGGAGAAAAATGGTAAGAGACTGAATTATATTATAAAAAGATCAGCAGCTCAGTTGATTTTTGTTGATCAGTTTTGCAAAATTGTGTTAAAAAGWAAACTGTTAAGTTTTTTAAAGCTTTTTTTATTCCTTCTGAGAACTGTGAAATCTTTAACTTATTCATTATGTAGGTTTTATACCTTATTGCACACAACTTTACAGCATTTGTTTGTAATATTTTAGTTGCTTTAAAC